ATAACTTAGAGACACATCACTCAAATCAAGAAATATTTTACCAATCAACTATTTACTTTATGCAGAACTAGTACTGAATGTATTGTCAAAGGGTTCATTTGCACTTTAATAGCTCCACGTAGCACGCACGCCATTTTCTATTTCTTCAATTTAGTACAATTTGGCACAAACAATGTATAAAGTTATTTCAAGAAGTTTGTTTTGCACTTATCTTACCGTTTTGATTTCAATCAAAAATCTGTTTTTTTCTTCCTCAACATTTATTATTCCGCCCTTTTTAAGCTGTTTGTCGAAAAGTTCAGCCATCTCCTTCTGGAGCCGTTTCATTTTCTTGTCAGGAGAATAGGAAGCCTGCCGAAACATATGAAAAGTGAGAGGAGTTAAAATGAACTCAGATGTCAACTCCAACAATCAAGGGATGATCGTTGGGGTGGTACCCGCGGCTATCACCACTGGGATCTAAGGTTCTTGGACTCGGCATCATACGTGAGTAGAGTTCGTTGGGTGTCTCCCTTGATTCGAGGGTTTTCTCTAGTTTTCTCATAATTAGATTTGTGAGACAGCCGTGCCCTGACTTTTGAGGATTGATCACAGGTTAAATAACATTTTTTTTTTGCAAAAATCAATTGCACTTCTCCAAGTATCTCTTGTTCCAGAGCCGTTTCTCAGCTGCAGGTCTCGTTACTTGGCAACCACGGTAAAATTTCACATATCTTGGCAAACCAAGTCTTTTCCACTTTACATATTTTTGAAGTAAAAGAACGAATACCGATTTGGGAAGGGGCGGGTAATGGACATAGATCTTCTCTTCTTCATGCCCCCGTCCCAATACCCTGTTCCTACTAAAGTTTAGTATAACATATTACGACACACACCTCATTATCACTAAACAGATCTTCTGGTGCCATCTTCAAAGCTTCCAGATCATAAGTGATTGGTAACCGACACATAGGACACACAATCTGGTAAAAAAAATATAAAAAAAACAATCAGGAAATCTTTTTGTTAGAGTATAAAAAATGTATCTTTAAATATTAATTATTATTATAATTATATATGCTCATTGGTCACAGTTTATTGAACAGCTTCGCGGCTCAAATTATGCGTGGAGAAAAATCGTCGAGCCTCTGGGACCAGGGTACAAAAACTGAGGAATAATCAACCAACCTTTGGTCAAATTAGATGCATACATCACAAAGATGAACTTTTATACTTGATAAAATCTTCTTGGTTTCATTTTTTACTGAAAACTGTTTAAAAGAACTCCTTTGTTCTCTTTATAAAATATTACATATTATTAAAAAAACAATTTGAATATATTTCTTGTTTGTAATATCAAGAATTGAAAAGACCATATGTTTTTAAGCAGAAATTTTACACTTTTTACATGAAAATTCCTGGAATTCTGATACCCCCCCCTCTAAGCACAAAATATGCATTTTTTCCAGTAACCAACCTGTTTGTCTTCCTGGTCACTTTCATYGATTTTCCTAAGAATGTACTCTATGTATCTAGCTAAACAACTACAATGAAAGTAGTGGTAGCATTCAGTCTTGGTAAAGCAGTGACTGTCCTAAAATAACAGAAAAAATATTCAAGATCATAAACAGAAATCAATAAAAAAATCTTATTAAGCAATAGTTACAGCACTGTTTTGATTGCTACTGTACATGTATGCACTGATCAAAGCAAGAGTCAATTGGCAATAAAGGTAATGAGCAGAGAGAGTACTTTAATGTTATTTTTGATTGACCATAGTCTATTGTCTGATTTTATTTTCCTGTTGTGACTTTTCTCTCAATATTCACAGAAAWTTTTAAATAACCTTTTAATCTTAAATAAGAGAAAGCAAGTTCACCTAAAACCTAAATGTTGGAGATTTAGCAAAATTAGAACTGGATAAGTTTCTAACCTGGAAATGTGACAAGCATATTGCACAGGCACAGCTTGGAATGTTGTTGTCTGTAAGGCTGTCTTTGGCATACTAAAAAAAATGATGATCTTTTTATATTACATGGAAATACATTTTGTTATCAGGACTACAGTGTACATGTATGAAATTATACAATTAGTGGAAGATGATAATTTGATGATGAACGTGATTGATTCAGCTAACTTAAGCCAATCAGAAGCAAGCAACAAACCTAGATCTGTCAAACAACTTATATATTATCAACAACTGTAGGAATTATACATTTTGATTAGCTTATGTCAATATGATACTGATTATGGTCTCTCTTGACTGGCTGAGGTCAATATGATAATGATTATGCTCTCTCCTGATTGGCTGAGATCAATATGATAATGATTATGCTCTCTCCTGATTGGCTGAGGTCAATATGATAATGATTATGCTCTCTCCTGATTGGCTGAGGTCAATATGATAATGATTATGCTCTCTCCTGATTGGTTGAGGTCAATATGATAATGATTATGTTCTCTCCTAGTTGGCTGAGGTGAATATGATAATGATTATGCTCTCTCCTAATTGGCTGAGTTCAATATAGTCCTGTTTATACTTTTTCTCCTGATTGACTGAGGTCAATATAATATGTTGCTTATACTTTCTCCTGATTGGCTGAGGTCATTATGAAAATGAATATGTTCTGCCCTTCTCTCTCCTTTTCACTCTACATTGTGATTGGCTAACTTTGTAAAAGTGGTGCAGTTGAAATGTCTATACTGTAAATTTAACCAACGTGTGGCAAGGATAACCATGTGAGAATATCAATAACAATTATTTAATATGATAAGAATTATATCTTTGATCCATGTCTTACATCAATGAGTTCATACAACATGGGAGATCCAAGTCTGCTTTCTGCAAGTTCTCTTAAGTTGGAGATAATACTGTCGTAACAAAGAAAAATATATGGTTAATCAATTCATCAAACATCAGTAATAATTACTATTATTAGAAGTATTACCTTTCCACATGAGCATCAGAGAGACCTCTTGGATTGCTAATGTGTATACCAGGTAATGCATTGGGGTACTAATAAAGAAAAATACATTAATTGGTATATGTAATAGGACTCCATGCTGTCCAATTAAGAAATAATTGGACAAGGAAAATTCCGAGGACTAACAAAATTGGATGAGGCCGTTGGCCGAGTCCAATTTGGCAGTCAGAGGAATTTTTCGAGTCTAATTATTTCTTGATTGGGGAGGATGAAATCCCATTACCTATTAATTATATAGCTGCCTAATTAATCCCATATCAACAAGACCTGTCCAATTAAGAAAATAATTGGACAGTTACCTATATGGGATTAATGAGAAGCTGTTTAATTAAATATTATAATATTTAAATGGTTTTCTACTTCATATATATATAAAGATTGAATGTAGTATCATCAATTCTATGCCTGTAAATATTGRCATGCACTGATTAAATAAACACTTTTGAAACTGAAAAAGGAGTAGCCCTGCACCCCACCCCTTCCCCCCTATGCAACCCCTCCTTTATATGCCTATCGTCCATATTAATTTACATGTTTTGTCTCAGTGTCGTATATAGAGATTATCATACCGATGACACTTGAATGAAAAAAAATTTTTCACAGTGTTCACATTTCTAGTGATTCTTCACTGTAATACTCACAACAACACAATACCAAGAATCAGGGGTAAAAATAAAGGTAGAATTCTTGTAGTACTGTCCCCATGATGGCATGAGAATCTTTACAAGAGGAGAAGCATGACCTGGCTTGCTGTTTTGGGCATTTAGAGTACCCCCTCCCCTCCCTTCCCTAAACAGACACATTCAACTAAGAAATGCTATGAAATACAATGCCTCTGTAATTATTCATTGTTATTCTTGATAACCATATATATGTAGGGCAAATAAATCTTTGAATTACCTCATTTGGAAGAAAGATCTGTAGTGTTAGACAAACATATTGCTTCTCTCCCTCGTCACCTGTACTTGGATGAAGAAGTAGGCTGATAGATGACGGTCTGAAAAACAACAATATATATAGCATGAATAGAAGAGCAAAGAGATTAGCAAAAGAAGGAAGAGTAAAGCAACAAAGTTGAAAATGAAAAAACAAAGTAATGGTATTAAATATAGATAAGAAAAATATGCAGAGTTAATTAATAGTTTGAAAATTACGACTTGTAAAAAAATAATACGAATATTGGGAAAAATGAGTGGCATAGCAACAGTACAGCTTACTGAGCCCTTATTATTATATAGTAAGTGAAAAATATTACCAATTTATATAACTTTCTTGGCATCTATCACATGCAATGCGTACACAACTGAAGAATAATACTTCATACTTGAGGATAATTTTATATCAAAAATGTTAACATTTTTATACCTAAAAATTTCAAAATCATCAAAAATGCTTCCGCGATTCCTACCTGTCTTTCAGTCCTTCTATTGTTAATTCATGAATATAAATAGCCTCTAGTAATTCAACTTCTTCTTGTAAGGATCTGTGCAAACAATACTCTTGTTAGTTGAATAAAAACGCTAGAATAAAGGCTTGAATTTTCTCACCCTTCGTGATGGTCACTCGCGACCGCCATCTTGTACGACGCCTAACTGGTATCGCGGGCTCCCTCTTGGTTCCCTTGGCGCACATAGGAAGCCCAAAGCCATATCTTCAAAAAATGCTATTAAATTCTAATAACTACAAATATTATCTTTTTGTCTCAAAATGGACTTTTATATGCTAAAGGCTTTTAAAGAATTAGTAAACTTTTACATCCATTAAAAAAAGTATCTATGTTTCTTTATAATGTGATAGGTGGGTTCTATAAATAAATAATAAATAAATAATACATATTGGGGTAAAATTTCCCCCAGTCACGATTGCATAACACACAGATCTTGATCCCGATGATCCCGATTCTTATCTCAGTCGACTGTGCCAATCGTAGCCTGYGTAGCGGCGGAAGGGGAAGGGGAGGGAGAACTTGCTTGGGGCTCCTGTGTCATAATTCTAAAAGGCCAATCAAGCAGTGAGACGTATTGTTGCCTAGTCTCCCCCACAGCCGCTCTCAGTGCCTACTCAGGGGAGAAAGCGTTGCGTGACAACACTTAAAGCGGCTGTGGGGGAGACTAATTGTTGCCAGCTCGTAAAGATCTGCAAAAGCATACGCCATGTTYTTAGAACTTACCTTGCTAACTTTGTTAGCATTTCTAATCTATCATTTATTTTTTGAGTTCAACGATTCGAAACTTCCGCCAGGCCCACGACCATGGCCTTTGGTTGGAAATGCCTTCCTCATGAATTCACGAATGCATTTATGTTTCACTGATCTCGAAAGTAAATTTGGAAACGTTTTCCATGTGTACATGGGCCACAAGCTGATGGTTGTACTAAGTGGCAAAGCAATTAAAAATGCACTCGTTCAACGACCAAAAGAGTTCGCAGATCGTCCGTCTAGGAGTTTATTTAGGTTCAAACAGCACCGAAGCCCTGCATTGTTCCTGATGGATTACGGCGAAGCATGGAGACTCTTTCGAAAACTTGGCCATTCCGCTATTAAAGTCTACGGTGAGAACCGCTTGGAAAAAGTCATTCATGAAGAAGTAGAAGAGCTCTGTAAAAGGCTTGRAGATTTTGAGGGGAAAGCGATGGATATCAGTAAAGAATTAGGCATATCTGTTACAAATGTCATTTGTAATCAGTTATTCGGTACCCGATATGACGTCAACGACCAAGAACTAATCCAAGTGCATAAATGTCACGATCTAATCACTCGATCCCCAATCCAGAACTCATTACTGGATTTTTTCCCGATTTTGGGATYGTTTTTCCCGACAAGCGAAAGAGAAAAACAAGTTGAAGAGAGTGCAGTATGTAGAGATAACCTTCTTGAAAAAAAGTATTTGGACCACTTAGAGACTTTTGATCCAGATAACATTCGCGACTACACCGACGCCTTGTTGAAAGCCAAGACACAAGCGGAAGAAGAAGACAAGTCGAGCAAAGAACACTTAACAAAAGAGGCAATAATAATGGCTGGGTTGGCAACTTTATTTCTGGCGGGCTCTGAGACAACATCGACGACATTGTCATGGGCTGTAGTTTATCTTCTATATAACCCCAAAGTACAAGAGAGACTCGAAAAAGAGATTGATGAGGTCTTAGGTGGTGATGAAGTCCCTACACTGAAGAACAAGAAAGATTTACCGCTTCTCGAGGCATTTATAGCCGAAACGCTTAGAATGTCTTCGCTGTTGCCTCTGTCACTCCCGCACAAGACGTTAGTGGACACTTCCTTCATGGGGTATCATCTTCCGAAGGGGACCATCGTTGTACCCAACTTGTGGTCACTGCACCATGACTCGACCTTCTGGAAAGACCCATTTGAGTTCAGCTTGGAGCGATTTCTTAACGATGAGGGTAAATTTGTAAATCCACCCGGTGGAACGCTGTTGCCGTTTGGTGCCGGACCCCGGACATGCATGGGAGAGGTACTGGCAAGGTCAGAGCTGTTTCTGTTTCTCTCGCGTCTTCTGCAGAAATTCAAGTTTGAAAATCCTCCTGGCGCCGGTCTTCCCTCTCTGGAAGGAGACAGAGGTGTGGTGATGCATCCTAAACCCTTCAAAGTTTGTGTAAAGATACGGGAATAGACGGAGACAAATAATGACTTGCAGCACTTGGTCAATATGTTGCCGTGCGCCGTGTGTTTGACTTCACAGCACTTGGTATACGATTTAGTATAAACATGCAGTCGTTCCGTAGTTCAGATTCGGTAATTTTGTATATTTTTCCTGCAGAAAGGGTTTTTCCCTTGCCACAAGGGTAATTTTCCCTAAGTTTTTCTCCCCCTGTAAGGATCAACGAACACGAGCTTGCATGAGTATGCTGCGCCCATAGCCGCGCGATATTGCGTGTACGTAGCTGTAGTGTGTGTTGATGAAAGTGGGCCAAATTAATTGGAAACCAGTTCATAATGAATTTGTTACCCCACTATAAAAAAAGTATAATTTTTAAAGATTTTTAAAATCATTATTATATTATTATAATAATAATTTAACTAAAATTTAAATACGGTGACGTGCGCAGGTATCAAGCTTGCGTAATGGATGAAATGTGGGGGAAATATGTATTTGAATTACTCCCAAATCAGTGTAAGGGATTGTCCTAAATCAGGTTGCGAGATACTCCTTAATCAGGGTAAGGGATACTCCTATAAATCCAGTTAAGGGATACTCCTAAATCAGGTTTGATATACCGGTGCTTCAAGTTAGACGAGTTGCTACAAATAAGAAACGAGTTGCTAATTAGACTAGGGTGTTACATGTCAAACGCGGATAAGTTTGCCGTTATGGACCAAGTTCTAGAGAAACTTAAGCTTGCTGTGTTTGTCTTCCCTCGTCACAGAATAAGCCGGAACGATACGAACGATGACTTAGAATAATGGCTCATGATTGCCAAACTGCCGGTCACCGATTATATTGTTCGTCGGTTTTTAATTTCGTCAGTTTCTCAACGTAAACGGACTTTAATCGACTGGAACTTACGAAAAAAAAAAAATTGAAATAGTTTAAGTAGGCATAAATTTCAGGTCACCCATCCAGGTACCAACTTTCCTCAACCGGACTTGACTCAATGTCACGGATATGGAAGCCCAAGTTTTTTCCACTGGACCACGGTTCCAGGTGAATCAGCATAACAATAG